TGGGGCATGAATTTTTTTTCTCACTTTAAGGTTGTAACTGATATTTTTCCCCACAATTCTCCTCGCATTTCAGCAGTTTTTGCTGTGCAGGAGAGTTTTGGAAATTGTCCACCCCCTCCCCACCCCCTGCACCCTCAAAAAAATAATGATCTGTCCCTAATCTTGCATTCTATGTTTGCCATTTAGGCAACTTGCCAGGCTAGTTGCCTATCAGTTATGTTTCAAGTCAGCTTACGTAACAAAACAAGACATAAAAACTTCAAACGTGCAAATAAGTGGCTACAAAATGATCCTTCACAAAATTAGTACCACCTTTAATACAGTAGAAATTAAAATCATCCACACTTCGTTTCCTACACCATAAAACCACTTTGGTATACAATGAGTGCAGTAATGCGGGCTAAGAACCACTCTAAGACTGAATGTTTAACAAATCTTGCAAATATCTGATGTAAAATATTCCCAAATACCAGCAGAAAAGCAAAAGATAAACCAAATTATGAACAAAGCTGCAAGCAGCTATTAATCTTCTTACTCATGACAACTGGTATCTGAATATTTTAGTTCAGATCAAGACTAACACTGCACAGCTCTGTCTTCTATCATTAACTCAAAACTGGACCACTACAATATTTTCTGTTTGAGGATAATAATACGGTATATAAAAATTGTCTCAATATATAGTGGTATACATTACTTGCAAAAAATCTGGGATGATTTTATTTTCGGGCAAAAAAGGGCCTGATAATATAATTCCGAAATTTTTAAGTCTCTGAAATTTAAACACCTGAAATTTTTTGCAGGTAATGTAACTCCTTTGAATTGCATTAAAGAGCCCCTTGCCTTAAAATTTCCAATTTCCCAAGTTACAAAGTACAATTTAAGTGGGACAGGCAGATGGGAAATCAGAGGGTTAATGTATCCTGACCAAGAGCAAAATACATGTATTATCCTGTAAAATCAGACCTAACTCAGTTGACAAGCATGTTATTATAGTACCTTTGCTGAGCTTGTCTAAAGTTTTGAAAATTTCTAATTAAATTGTAATCTGGGCAAAACCAGACAGCTTCTTCAGGACTGACTCAAATTAACCTGTCCAGCTTATGAAACTGCAGATGAGGGACCCTGTAGCTGCTGATAACCCATCTCTAGGACACCTTAGTTTTAAAATGGGTGTAAAATATGTAAAAAGCTCTAATCTTGAATGTACAAGCTTAAAGACAAACATGTAAAACAGAAACTGAAATCTCTGAACTATTCAAACTTAAGACTATGACTGGTTTTCTGTTCCAGACATGTTTGTGGCAATAATAGCAACTGTGCAGAAATAAGATATCAAAAATTTAATTATATCTATTAGAATCTTCATTTAAAATCTTCACAACCACAATTTTACATAATTGAGATACTGTGAGATACTGAGATACTGAGATCTTTCTTAAACTGTAGCTATAATACAACAATTTATTTAAAAGTATAAACTGGCTAAAAACATGACATAAAGGTCATTGCAGCACTGAACTGGCTTAAGACACAGTCAACCATTCTATTCAAGGTCACCCCTCCACATGCATGCACTCTAAATTTTAAAAATTAAGCTCATTAGATGGGAGACAATGACGCTCTTTGTCGAGGTGTCAAGTCTGGGTGCCAAAAGTCCACAATTAAAATAAGTCTAAAGGTTGAACCATTGTGCCAAACTTCATGGTCAAATGAGTCATCAATGATTATTGCTTTGCCTTCTTCCCAAGTTCTGTGAAGGAAAACCACATTATGTAAAACATGACTGTCTTCTATACCATTAGTTTGTGTGACGTAGGAGGTGCAGCAGCCTAGTGGTTAGCTTGATGGACTCCAGATTCACCAGTCTAGATTCAAGCATTGGCTCAGGGGTCATTGCAGTTTCTTCCTGTCTCTCTCCACCTTGTTAGTATAAACTGTTTAGAGGAGGGCTTGATGTTGGGGGGTAACCTAGCATGAACTGGCCCAACACAGACTTCCCCCAGCTACCTTGCAATGTCCCTCTGTTGCCTGGGGGGTCTCCCATATGAAAAAGTCAGGATGCTCGACGCCTCCCTTAAGGGTATAAATCAAGGATTCTGGTCTCACTTAGGGTGCTCATGACAAAATGCCACTACTTTTAGCTTTCAATTGAAAGTAACTTTTTGGGTGCACTCAAAGAAATAGTAAAAAAAGCGCTCTTATTTCCGTGTTTAGGTTCAATTTCCACCAGACTCAAGTCTGGTCTACAAGCACAGGCTCCTTTCCTGAACAGTAGCTGGTAATCAAGCCTATACTGTTTTAAGTGGTATCTTTTAGGGGTCAAATAGCACTTGAGCCATGCCCAGATTGGTCTCCTTTAGGGGTTTAATATTTACATTTTCCAATGAACATCCCCGATCTCTTCATGTGAGGGTCCCCCCCAGGTCTGCTGTCCATCCATCCATCCAAACACACGTCCATTCAGTCAGTTAGTCAGTCAGTCATCCATCAGGCAGGTAGTAAATCAGGCAACCAGTCAATCATTCAATCAGTCAGTTAGATGTCATTGTTACATACCTTGTTTCACGTCCAACCCTTATGGCGACATTTTTAGGAATGACCAGTCCAAGGTGAAGTCGTAAACGGCAGTTTGTAGGACCAGTATGAGGCCAAACATGAGTGCCAGGAAGCATCACGGAATACTTGATCTGCCACATACAAAATAGTAACATAAAGGTAAGTTGCTCAAACTACATTGTATCATGATAGCACCTCTCTCCACACACAAGTATGGAAATGATAGCCATTTGGGAAACCTTACAAAGTGCTGGTGGATTCCAATATGAATAAATGGGAGTTTCGAGACAAACCTGCTATGGCATGTCCTATTCACCATGTGGAAGTCACAAAAAACAAATTGTTCACCTCCCCGTAAATTCAATGTCATTTTTAAAAACTTAAAATATTGGTAGTAGTAAAATTCAAATTAAATGCTGAAGTCAGTTATCCCAAACCACCTGCTGCCTTAAACACAAGTCCTGGGGGTCGGAGGGGGGGAGTAGAAATACTCCTTGTCGCTTCATGCTACACAGAAACCGGAGATAAGCGCCGGCCTGATGGGCCACTTGGCTCGTATGCGCAGACTTTACCATTACCTCTCTTCGAGTTACCCGCTGTCGGCGCGAGCGTCTTCAAGTTAAATTTGTTAATAAGTACTGCGTAGTAGATGAAATATCGCAGCTGACAAACCAACTAACGGTTTATTTATGCATGGCAGATGTTTTCTTTTTTTCCTGTCAAACTGAGCCCCTGGTGGACTAGGCGTTTATTTGACTTCTGCATTTAAGCTAGAGTTTCTAAGCCATTATATGTAATGGTGTTGTTACCGACGTTTGGAATAAGTATTTGTCGGAATAAGATCCGCCGTTTAATTCGGGACCCGGTGCTTAATCGAAGTAATACGGCGTGCATATTCAACGGTGAGTGACCAGCACCTTTCAGCTACTAAAATGTGGCGAATGTAATTTAAAAATGAGACCTCGATATCAACGAGTCGTTTCAACCTTGACCAAATAACACAAAAAATTTACGTTAATGGAAGCTTTCCCGCTGTGGAAATTATAACGAATTAATAGTGCCTTATTAACTCTCACTAACTATACTCGATATGTATATTTTATGTTGTTTAAAGTTTATTACACAAGAATCTGTAATTATTTTCACGATTTGGAAAGAAGAAAAATGGCGAGACCACGCAGAGAAAACTCTTCAAAAAGCTAACTTCAAACGTATGAAAAAAAAAAAAAAAAAAANTGGAATCTTGAAAGGGATCCCGCGTAGCATTCTGGGTTTGTTTGGCAGCCCTTGGCCATGTGGCAGCGTTCGGCCACGAACAAATTTTTTTCAGACCAATAAAAAGGAAAAAAAAAAAAAAAAAAAAAACTCTGAAAAGAGTTAACGATAACTTAACGATTAAAACCGAGGTGAATATGAAGGCGAATGGGAAAAGGAAATGATAAAACCCTTATTGTCCAACGAGATCAGAGCAGCTGTTTAACTATATCTTACTCAACGCAATAACGAGATTCTTCTCCTTACGTCCAAACGCGAGCGTGAGAAGGATTTTGATGATAGAAGCTTTCTTTTTTGTAATTTCACTTTATTTTGGAAGTTTGCAGTAAAATGTTAAATCATTCGTCTTTTTAACTTTGTCAACAATTCCGCCAATAACTCAGATTTTGCACCAGACAGATCAATTATATAAATTATTACCATATCTTTTAGATGTTGAACACGTAACGATATGCGAGCCGCAAGCTGCTGCAAGATATTTAATGCTTGCACGTCTAACACCGAGCGACTGCACACGGCTCAACACAAGATCAACACAGGATCTCAGATAAGAGCTATCTTTCAGATGATGAGAAGCGGAATTTTGACGTTTAAAACCCATAAAAATGATATTATTTAGCTTCTTCGAACAATTAAGACAGGGAAAATGGCAGGTTAAGTGTTATTAAAATGAACGCAAAATTAGAAGTTAACGTGAACAATGGTCTCAGTCGAATCGTCTATTTAATGGCAGTTTCATTAACTGTTTTTTCCGGTGCTGTATTTTATTACACCTGCGCCTTCCATGCTTTTTCACGCTGATTAATAATTATAAAAAAAGGAAACTCTTACCATAAAACAGGTACATTTTGGCAAGTAAGTAAGTGAGAACAAACTGAAGCGAGATTCGTAGATTAAATATAAAGTCATTTTCTAATCGACGATGTCCTTAAACTCCCTTTTGTTGTTTGGGCGGTGAGCGTCTGTCTGCATTTCGACGATTTGTTTGTTCGGTTGCGTTGTGTTCGGTCGCTCGTTCTGCTGTTCATATCTCTGCCGTTCATTTAGTTTTTATTGTGTCTACTGCATTTATAATGCATGCAGGCCGTACAACGCGCTACCACTACTTCATATACGACAAGATCTCCGATTTACTCCTCATGTTTCATTGCATATTCCATTACGTGACATGATACATAAATTATTTTCGGCCTGTAAAACGTTCGGTTGGAAAATTCGTTCCTCGGGGGAATAATCGAACCAATTGGATACGAGAAAAGGACAAAGAAAACGGTTCGTGACAAACGACCTCCTTCCGGGGAGACTCGGAACCAATCATAAGAGGAAAGGACAACGTCAAATAATCCGTCAACAACCATGTGCTTTCGAAGAAGGAAAACTGCAAAGATCGTTGCCTGGGACTTCTTGGGCGCTGTCCATTTGGTCAAAAATTCCGAAAATTCCGGTTCGGGGGTAAATGCAAAATTGGAAAATTCCCGGAAAAAGTGGACCTGCTCAAAAGGTAAACCCGTTTTCCGGTTTGGAACGTCCCGACTGGTTTCTCGCGTTCCAAATTGCAATATCCCGGTAATCTTTACCAGTTCCAGGCCCACGGTAAGCAAATTATCACCGCCATTTCGTAAACAAAATGGCGGCAGAGATTATGATATTTGCGGCTAAATACAGGAATTGTACCACACTAAAATGCACTCCGGTTAGCCTGAATACCATTTTGGTTAGCCTGCACAGCACTCCGGTTAGCCTGAGTAGCGTTCCGGTTAGTATGGTTAGCTCTTTAATAGTGTGCAATTCCTGTATTTAGCTGCATGTATTATGATGTATCAATGCTCGTGTTGATTGATCGCGACTCCCTCCATGGAGCATCTACTGAGCCGCGACTGTTCTTATGAAAATGGTAGGTAATTTGATTTGAATTTGGAAGGTGTACACTTTTTGAAGGGCTTATACTCTAATAAACTCATCTATCGAAGATGTCGGCACTATAACGTCGAAAAAGCCGTAATTTCTGTTTAAATCTCTTCTCATAAAAGTTGCTATTATAATACAAATTTCTTCTTTATCATCAGAATCGATCAACATTTCCTCCTCAGCAGCCGCCAAGGGCTCATCTAGCATTAATATCAAGTCGGAGGCCATGTTGATGTCCCTTTAGGCAACGCGCACCTCAACACAGGCGAAATTTGTGACAAAACGGAACAACTTTTTCACACTGCGAAATTCCTAGAAATTGACACCGAAATTTCCGGATTTTTTTTTCTTAATGGAAAGCGCCCCTTGCTCCAGTAGATGCGTTTTAAACTGGTCTCAGGGTGTTTATTGCTTGCTAGGTGAGGGATCGTTTCGTTTTTGTGGGGGCTTCAGCCTCCACTATGCTACCGTCGGCGGAATTTAGTTGTCTACGTGTAGCGTATCGCTAGGTCTTCTGGGAGGAATTGAGTAGGCTTATATGACGTAAAGGTTCGACACGGCGGCCATTGTTGTTTTGAGTACATGTAATATTTTCCACAGCTTACCGTCGCGAGTTGGTTGCAGTTTTCAAGGTAAGTTATTTTCCATTTCTAAATTGCTTTGCCTCGTTTTTGTTACTTATCATTCTTTCCGCACTTCCCTCGAGAACTGTGTACTCTTTGTTATTTCACTTAGATCTTCGTGAGAAAATTTCTCCGGCGACACAAGATTTGTTTTGCTCACGAAAGCCATTAACTTATCTAGGCTCGGCTCGTGTTCAGTGTGGATTGTACGGGAGAAGTATTCGCTTTCGCAAGCACTCACCTTCTTTACACAAACGAGTGGCAGTTAGTGGACTCTACTGTTATCACGTAAATCGTGTACATGTACTTGTACTTGTACTGTGCAGTCATTTTGAGCAGCTGTGAATGCAGTCAAACTGCTGAACCTACATGTACTGGAGCTGTTTGTTAACTACATGACAATATTAACTGCGAGTATGGGGACATCAATTGAACAATACCGGTCGAGGAAGCGGAGGATGCCTTATCACATGTTCAACGGGGATGGATTCTTACCAAGTCTTAGCTAAATGTGTTTTACTTGACAAGATTGAAATTCTGGACATGTACAGAAATGATGGGCTACATTTTGTCTACATCCCATTGCACGTAAGGGGAAGTGAATGATGTGGAGAACAATCCAGGCCCTGCAGTATTTAATAACACTAATCCAACAACCANAGGATGCCTTATCACATGTTCAACGGGGATGGATTCTTACCAAGTCTTAGCTAAATGTGTTTTACTTGACAACATTGAAATTCTGGACATGTACAGAAATGATGGGCTACATTTTGTCTACATCCCATTGCTCGTAAGGGGAAGTGAATGATGTGGAGAACAATCCAGGCCCTGCAGTATTTAATAACACTAATCCAACAACCACTGTGTCTGCCGGCCACAAGTCAAGGAACTGACAGAAGCACACTTTGGTGAACGTTGGTAAGCAGTGTGTTGCAAATTATGTTCGCTTGATTATTGTTAAAATTTATAATAAAATGGAAGACATTGTTCTCAGAATATGCTTATTGGATCGAGCCTCTACAGTTCTACAAGATATTAATTCTGTACAAAAAATGTATATTTGCCTTTAACTTTTACAATGAGGAATAGTTTCGGTTTTTGTCTGAATGTAAATTCAATGCAACGTAATGCAATTTAATACAACGTTCATTATTCTTACTCTTGATGTAAAACAATGCCCAATATGTGTCTCTTAAAAATTCACTTGCAGAAGCTTTTTCAAATAATTTTCTCAAACTCATCACTAACTCATCAAGTTTAAACAATGTAAATCATAACTGTGATGGTGTTTGAATATCTGATCTTCTTTGGCATAGATGTTGTAATTTTAAGTCGCCTTTTTGTCCTTAGTTTTAGTTTCAATTGAGAAGATAGGTGCTCTTGTGTATAATAATTGTGTGTCAAACACCGAAGACCATATTTCATCACATTTCCAACACCTCAAATTTTGTCAAATATTCTCAGCTGTGTGTTATATTTTAATCACTCTTCTTCATATTTGGAAATGTGGTTAACCACGGTCTTTCGTGCTTGATATATTACATCATTGTTACTACAGTGGTTGTTTGTTACAGTTTTAAAGAAGTCATAGCACAGCTTTGACATATTTTTAATTTAACTTCGAGGATTTGCATGG